TTATTCTCCTCTTACCATTGACTGTAGCACTCTGCCATCTCTCTCTCTTGCGTCCTCTACTTCTTTTGTAAAGGCATTTCTTTGTCTTCTTCTCTTCGCTGTTCCAGTTCTACCTTGTCTCTATGTCATCTAACAACCTCTGCCACAGACTAGTCGGACATCGTCCTCGTTTGTTCTCTTCTTCACGCATGCTCTGCCTCTCTGTCTCTCTGCCACTTAAACTTTTCGTTTTTCTCTCCCCCAGCATGCCATCTTCCCTCTCCTTTTCGCTTTTTGGCGTTCAGAAGAAGAAAGAAGGGGCAGCGACGTCGTTTGATAATTAAAAGAATGATAGAGCTGGCCTGGAGCTAACGGGTCGTTTAGGCTTATGAGTTTTGGGCTGTGTTGTGTTTTTTTATTTGGGCTTATAAAAGGCTTTAAAGTACGTCAACGAGAGTTGGGTTTACTTAATTTAATTTTGGGTTTCGTTTTGAATGTAGTGGAAATAGATTTTAAAATGAGTGAGAAGTGGGCATTTCCCTTCATTTTTAACTATGTTTTTTACCATAATAATAATAAAAGTTTAATTTATTAAAAAATAAAAAATAAAAAGTATTTTGAAAAAAAAATTATGGTATTACACCACATGTTCATGATATATCACCAACTACTCTCCTAAAGATATTCAAGCATATAATAATCAATTATCATCTTTAAAAGTATTTAAAAAATATACTAATTTAACTCATACACCATTTGCACTGTGACACCATTAGTATTAAGAAAGAATGATCAATAAAATTTGTTTAGATGTTTATATTATCCTCAATATATGCACTTTTTATTTCATAAAATCTTGATAAAAATTTCTCCATAAAACATTGGAGAATATTATCTATATAGATAGATCTAATAAGTTCTAAGTTTCATTCAAATTAAAATACAAAAATATAATGTTAAAAAAGTTTAATATAGAATATTCAAATAGATGATTATTACTCTTGTCTCATTGAATATATCTATATGAGAACATTTCTTTTAAGACATATTTTTTCGTTGAATATGTCTCTCTCGTAACATGATTTATAGAGGTAGACCTAATAAGCTATAAGGTTTTTTCCAATCAAAGTATAAAAATATAGTGTTGAAGAAGTTCAACAAAGGAATATTCAAATAGATGATTATTACACATCTCATTGAACATATCTCTCTAAGAACATGTCTTTTAAGCAGTGATTTTTTTTTAACATACCATTGAACTAAAAACCTAACGATAACGTACTAACAAGGTTGTAATCAAAATGACACTTAATTAGGAGCTAAAGAGGCTAAATAACGCGGGAGGGACGTGGAAAGATCGTTTTAATTCTTGAAACCTCACACGACGTAACAATCAAAAAACTTTACAGCCTAACTTAACCTCTCTATTTGAACTATAACTAATCAAATTAATTACAAACCAAGGTAACTGGAAAAAAAATAAAAAGAACATAAAAGGTGTCACAGCTTACCTAATAAGTCAATTCTAAATCTTTGTCTTAATATAGTAGTATGAAACTCTCTAACTTAAAGACGTTTGAAGAACCCTCTCTTAACAATTAACAATGCTAATTTAGAAGCAAAACCTTGAAATTTTATTAATCCAAAAGTTGTAAGTTGTAAGTTGTAAATTGTAATTATTGAATTTTTTCTGACACGTAGGCTTAATGTGGGCCTTGATATGCATATCAGCTTATCAATTTAATGAGTTCATTTAAAAGTAATCAAATACAGTTAAACAGTATTGAGTCTTAATGTATCAAGCTTAAGTATGAGATTGTAATATACAGATATAATTTTTGTAATATTCTTATTTTATGATGGGTAAAATAAAAATTGTAAAGGTTTATCGATATAAATGGTAGTTATGATCCTCGAATAACAAAATCATCATTTTATTTTTTTGAAATTCTGTCACCAGAAAAAAAAACTAATTTTGAGGCATTGTGTTGATTTGAAAATAACTACTGTAGGACGCAATCAAATCTTCTGTGATGGATCTAGATATGCTTCCATTTATCTTTTCTTATTGATTCAATATGAGATTATATATTTAGATTTATAAATCTATTTATTTGAAAAGT